TGGGAGATTTATGTTTCATATCTTTTAAATTGCCTCTGTGTGGATTAGTAGCTGTGGGATGACACTCGGGGTCTCACTCAGTTGAGGGTGAGATTCAGAAAACTGGAGTGTTCTTTGTATACAGTATGTAATATTTGTCTCTGAAGTTAACATTACAGCAGAATGTGCTTAATAAAAATTAGAAAGCAACAACCAAAGTCAGATCCAGGCCAAAGAAAACATATCTTAAACATATCTTAATCACATTGTATTCATGTTTCAGTCTTTTCATGACACTCAGCTGTCTTTACCTTTTTTATTTAAGTCTATCCTTCCTTAGCATACCCTAAGACTAAGAACCTTACTGTTTAAATTACAAGCCTAATAAGTCTACAGCAGGATTACAGCTGTGCCTTTGACTGGCCAATCAATTGATTTGAATGCATATTATATACATATGACCTATGATTGACAAACCCCTGCAGAAGTATCTCAGCAAACTAAATTCCTCACTGTGCTATTGTGCCAGGTACATTAGAAATTGTGTATATAGAAAATGCAAGTCTAAAAAATATGAATGCTTATAAAAAGATTTAAAAATGTTGCATGTACTGTAAGTAACAGAACATCATGAATGCTTAAACAAAGACAATAATGTCCTGCTGTAGTTTCTGTTGCTTTCTACTTAACTCTAATTTACATTGTCATTCTTTGTATGCACTGTTTGTTCTTTAGATAATTCTTAAACAGTTTTTGAAACAATGCAGGTGTTAGTTTCATCCTAAAAATAATTTTTCGCTTGGTACATGAGTATTTCCTCTTCTCCAACATAAAAATACGGGTGAAAACAGAACCAGACTTACAGTGCATTTTCATCATAGTTATAAATAGGCATAGGTAAGTAGGCCAGTCCTTTATTTAGAATTAGCAACACTGGTTTGTTTCAGTTGTGTTATCATACTGTAGTCCTGGCACATGCAATGGGGGAAATAGGAAGTGTGTATAATCTGAATCAAAGTAGTATTTATTAATTGTGATAAGTTTGTATCATGTATTAATTATATTTAGTAAACAGTTCACTGACATACAGTATGTATCTATAAGGCCAATATAAAACATTGACTTGATTGTTTGTTATATTCCTTTCACTTTTGTGGACTATTCCTAACACAGAACACAAACCATAACCCCATTTGCAGAATAATAAGAATAATTATACATTAATAATAATAATAATACTTTTGTATAGGAACAAGTAATAGGTTTATTCCATGCTGAAAAAAAGGAAGAGAGAAAACACAACGTTTCGGCCATGGAGCCTTCTTCAGGTGTGAGAGAGACAAGGCAGTAGGCAAAGGTAATGTAGTGGAACAACAAAGGCTGGCAGGGCGAGAGGCAGGAGCAGGAGACTGAAAGAGAGGCCAATAAAAAGGTGTGAAGTCAGAATAGGTGTGGAGGGGTGTGAAATGAAACTTCCAATGAATGGAGAAAATTTTGTAGAATAGTAGTCTGTCGTTAAGAGAAGAGGGAAGGTGTGATCCTAGTGTGATCATAGGTGTGATCCTATGATCCTACTTTTGTATACACGTTTTCTTTAGCAGTTGATAAATGGCTGACTCTTAGTAGCTGAGGAGATATTTTCATGGCATTTTTTGGGAAATGTTTTTTGTTATGGAATTTTAATTTGAAAGATAGACTATGGGAAGGAATTAGGACATGGAAAGTGGCCAGTGACTCATCTACCCTGCAAATAAAATGTAATTAGATTTCTGTTTTATACATCATTTGGTAATTAATTGCCTATTTTGAATACAGTACAGTTTTTGAAGTGTTTTATGATAGATGCAAATATGGTTAAAGTGATTAGTATTTTTATTTTATAGACCTGTCGATGCTAAGGGTTGGTGCTGCATCAAGCCTAAAATATACAGTATATTTGTACAAAGTATATATTTTTAGTGCTAAAGATAAATTAAATACATAACTCAGACAATGAAATATACTGTATCCTGTTGAGGCTTGCATCACCAAACAAATGTACTACATGTATAACTCTTTCACTGACATATGGGAAAAAAAACACATCTCTTTAATAAACTGTAATTGAGACTGCGACTCCCACAATGCCTACAGAACATTTAGCACTTTAGGTGGAGATATGTCACATGGTGGAAGGATTTACGGTCATGCTGGTTTACAGTTTGTGTGTTCTCCCTGTTTCTGCAGAAGTTTTTTTTAGATGGTTCAGTTTCTTCATGCCTATGAAAGACTGGATAGGATAACTGATGTCTCTAAATTATCATAAATCATGTGTGAGTCATTTACAGCACAAATAACAGGAATCCCATCCAGAATATAGTTCCCCAAGCTTCTAGGATATACTGGAAACAGATGGCTGGTTGAGACAAATTGTCCTGTGTCCCCACCAAACTTGCATCCTAATAAAATACGAAATGCCCCTATATTATGGAAGAACAGAACAAGATCAAAAGTGATGGATTTGTATTTGCACAATGCAATGTACACATAAAGCCCTGCAATCAACAGCTATAGAAAATCTACACAACCTGCTCTTAATGAATATACAGTATATAAGGTTTTAAACCAAGGACTTTTTGATGGAAGGAGAATTACAACCTATAATTTCTTAGAAGCCATACACAGTTAGCCAATACACTGAACAATAAGGTTAAAAAATAAAATGACAAGAAAAAAATCAGAGTATCTCAAAAAAGTGCCGCTGTCAGTATTTTATATAATTTGATTATATAATTTAGATATAAAACTATTAGCAACTTCTTTCATGATTTGACAGGTGACAAATCCTAGTAAACTACTGTAAGTGTTGACTATTCAGCTGGCTTATATAGAAATACATTTAAAACACATTTTAATATTCTCCAGCTCCAAGCTATTGCCTTACCAATGCAAGACTGATACTTTATCTAGCAAAAAGCGTATGATCAATGACACATATTCTAAAAATTAATCTGTACTTCGGCTCACACAGAAGGATTTGAATAAATATTTTTTTCAAGTCTAAGATATGGAAAATGTATTCTCAAAGAATTAGTATATATTATATTTCAAGGGGAGAAGCAGGGGTTAGTTGGAGAAAAGAGCACCCAGACCGCACGGGGGAGCCCAGGTGGCCGACTGGGTTGGCTGACTCGACAGCCTGCGGGGCATGAAAACATGAACACCCCTGACTCACGGAGAGTCACTTTGAGAGGACCTGCCTCACCACTGGGAGCTAGGCCCTCAGGGGATAGAAAGGGAAGAGGAAGACTCCCATGAGAGTCACTTTGAGAGGTGCTGTCTCACGTCCAGGCGCTGCTCTCAGGGGATAGAAAGGAGGAGATAGCCCCTTGACTCGCTGAGAGTCGCGTGAGATGCCCTGCTTTACGACTGGGAATGAATCCCTCAAGGGGGCAGAGAAGGAACCCCTGACTGGAGAAATCACTTTAAAAGGCAAAGCTCGAGGGGGTGAGAATGAAGAGAAAGCTGCTCAAGAAGGAAGTGAACGAAGTCCCCCGACTCGCTCAGAGTCGCTTTGAGGCGCTGCCTCGCAACTGGGATAAACCCTCAGGGGACCGAGGGAACAAGAATTAGTAAGTTCGAGTTCCCGGAAATAATGTGGCCGGGGATCCCCTCTAGCTCACGCTTGAGGACCTCCCCTGAAAGGGTCAAGGTGGCGCTGCCATCCCAAGGTTGGGGAAGTGAGCTTAACTTCCCCCCCAGAGGAAACCTGGATGCAAACGAACATGAGAGAAAGAGGAGGAGGGAATTTAAAAACGCTAGACATATGTGTTAGCAGGATTAGGGTTTAAATAGGAAAGAGATAATTAAATGAGAGAGGAAGGGGCGGAGCTCCTCCCGCTTCTCCCCTAGAACTCCACCTATCGGTTTCTATTTAATTAATTACTAAAAAGTTGTAGGAAAATAGCAGAAACAGGCTATTTCAAACTATTTAATACACATTTTTATCATGCCTTGGCACTGTGATTGAAAGGGCAGCTCCATTTATTAATGTTATTTTAACGTATACCAGGTACTGTATAATAAAATGATAATATATTGTTAATCGCATTTAGTCCTTATCCACTTTGGGCTGTTGCACTTCAGTTGATTCACCCCAACGATAACTGATTTGAAATCATTAAATGTTTGCCCAATAGTTCCAAGTTTATTCATTTTCTTTCTTTTTCTTTGTTTCTTTTATTCCATAATACACTGTACAGTAAGTACAGTAATGTAATTTCGCACATTCTTGCAATGTACAACATATACAACAAATTTAGAAATTTCAAGAATATTAAAACAATTTGTGATCAGTATTACATACTTGTATACAGTATGTATCTCGGGTATGTGGTGCATCGTACTGTACTAGTAAGGGACAGGGTATTCTCCCTGTTAAATACAAATTTGCCATTGTACCTAACCAACATGGACAGTTCCCTCTACAAGAAACTTCAAATAGGTTTGAGGTAAACGTCAAGTTGTTAATCCATGTCGTGCCGATATTACATTTCCCTTAAGGCGAAGTCTAATAGTGTAACTCACTGTATCCATTTGACTATCTTATTGCAGAGATATTATGGTCATTTTGTTGTTTTGATGGATGATTTTGTTTTGTTGTTCCTGCAAACCAATGAAGTTGAGCCAAATGAGTTTTGTGTTCTTCAGACTAACCAGACTGTTTTAATAAACTTTCATAGCAACACATTACTGCTCTCGGAGCCTAGGGGAAATGAATGTTTTACAAAACCGAGAAAACATTTCTGCTCAGACCACTAACTGTAAAAACAAATATGTATTGAATATTGTATGCTAAATTTGGAATTATTACTCTTCAAGCACACACAATTCCAATTATATAACAAAATAAAAATCAATACCACATACAGTATGTCTGGTACTAAAATATCTATTTGTCTGTTGTGTTGGAATTAGGAATTTATTAGAAGCAATCATTTCAAAGCATTACAGTAAGATAACCAGGAAGCTATTTCTTTTAGACAGATAAGGGTCTCACTGAAGTGTGGAACAAGACTGTGAACCAGGGAGAAAAATGGAACAAAGCTGTGGTGCCCCTGAGGAAGATGAGGAATTTTGAACTTATCTTCCTGGGAATTCGATCCAGAGATCTCAGTGGGGGAGCTGCTATCGATGACTTGGAATTTATCAACTGCGCACCAAGTAGGTGTTATTTTATTCTTTGTGCCTCTGTTACTGTATTTGTTAAATAATGCCCTTGAAACTCTGAGAACATAACCAGCAAATACAATAGATCAGTTGATCTGATCAGTTAAAAGTTTTCTTATTTCAACTGATGAAGCAATTTCTCACTTTTCGACAATCTGCTGTATATTGAGGATGCTAGTGCAGAATGGCTGCCATCATCTTATTACCTACAGTATTTTGTCACGCAAGTGTGTTCTGCACTTCAGTGTAGGTTAAGTAGGTCCCCTCCTGCCAAGAACTGTGGAATGAACAGAACTGTGTAGATGCAAGGAATTATTATTTTATTTGCCAATACACTTTTCCTCATTTTGAAGTAATGGTTAAAAATATAGTTTTACGACTATGCAGTAAGTCTTACCTTGAAAATCTCAAGGCAGCCTAACTGGTGATTCAAAAAGACCAGAAAATGCTTAATGTTCAGTACCCTGACAGATGCATGACTGGGTGTAAAACAGATGCATTTCAAGACTTTTACTTAGGTAACCATGTGATGACATGATGTGCAGAACCACAGAAATTTGCTGGAGTGCCATTATCTGAAGGTACGCAGTTGTAAAACTGCGTGTCCTGCAGTCAGTCATTAGCCACTCATGAGACCAATACCAATAATCCTGAACTGTTACTTATTCTTTCTGTAGTGATATCAAATATATGTCATGGAGGTTGCTGTTTCCTCCAGGATTCCTGAGCTTCTGGGCTGGGTAGGGTGTAACATTGCTCCAGAGAATTTTATCATACTTGTACAATGATTCTTCAACTATATGGATCAAAACACAATAACTGGAATAAAAAAGTTATCTCTGAATTTAAAATGATCTCTGGAGCATATCACTCTACTGAGACAGCACTGAGTGACATACTTTAACGTACCCTATGCTTTTGTAACATACCCTATGCTGGGTTGACTCATCAGAGAAATGAGAGAGTAATGAGACATCTCGACTTAGATTGGACGCCCTACTTTTGAACAGGGGTTTGCATGTGTCATTTCCATATGTTCAAAAAACAAAATAGAGTAGTTAATAAGGATGTACAGTATATAAGCTGTTGAAGTAGGTAGCTACATCAACATGCGTCAACATGCTTAGGCTGCAAACAAACAAGTAAAGGTTTATTCCATGCTGAAAAGAGAAGAGTGAAGTGAAGCCTTCTTCAGGTATGAGAGAGAGAGGAGAACTGGCAGTTGATAAAGTATGGGAGAACAAAATACTTGGAGAGAAGCAGTTTAGACACTCAGGTGGTGTCGAGAGAGTTTAAGAGAGGTGTAAAAAAAACAAAATACAGTAGTTAATAAGGATGTACTGTATACTGTATAAGATGTTGATGAGGTGTTAAGTCAAAAAGTCAAAATCTGCAAATGAATAGATAGGATTAGAAGGAAACTGATTTGTTGTTGAGAGAAGGGAAAAGGTGTGAACTAGGTTTTGGATGTCTTTCTGCAATAGTTTGAGGTTTCCTTTCAGCATGGAATAAACATTTACTTGTTCCTACTGTATATATAAACTGTGTCTTATACTAATTCTGATTTTTGAGGCTGAAGTAGTGAGACCTTTAAAGTTCATGGTGATTTTAAAGAAAAAGAAATGCTTGTAAATGAAAGATTATTTCTACTTATTGTTGTGTGAGAAGAGAACAATAAGAAGTATTTCCTTCATGGGAACTAAGAGGTTGAAGTGAATATGACAAAGAATGTAAGAATGTAATGTGTTATGCACAATGAGAGATCATAAAGTTCTTACTGTAATACATCAAAGACATCTGAAATGCTCTTTGAACCTCTAAATTAACTTTTTATTACTAGAAGTTGTATTATTTCAGTTGTAGTTTTTTACCAGATTTAAATTAATTTTTGTGACATTTTGGAATAAAAGCTGGTTAATTTCTTACACTGAAATTGCATTTTCTTTGGTGGAGTTAATGCCAGCTGTGCCTTGTCACTTTCTTTTTGCATCCATCCTTTCATTTTCTACCCACTTTATCCAATATAGGGTCACAGGGGTGCCTGAAATCATTATATTGAAATAATATACATTTCCAAAATGAGTTTTACAAATTCAGTTTGCCTTGATCACTTGAGTTAGTGAAGCAATTACAAAAGCAATTCTGTAATAACAATGAAATAATAACAATTTAGTAAATCTTAGAGTGAGACTAAAGTTTTAAAGTTAATTTATACTTTTTGTGAGGTTATTTAAAATTAACATGGTGTACAAATTAAACCCCCAGAATGCACAAAATGTCTTGAACAATTATATTTTGAGCACATCAAATCATTTTGTCCTTTGATTTTAGTACAATCAAAGTTGTGCTGCATTATTTCACGTTAAATTAGTATATCCCTCACCTTGATCTCATTTATTTAGTTTTATTTAGTGAAATCATATCTCAGTTTATCTAGTTCTCTGTTTTATTATATACAGTATAATAAACTATGGGTCATTTTTATCAATGTATATACAGTGTATTTGTTACAGTATACATTGTTGCAGTACATATTTACAGTAGATATATACTGATATAAATATATCTGTAACATGGTAGTCTGTTGATTGAGAAGATATTTTTGCAAACCATTTTTTTAAATTGTCTAATAACTAGCAGGACAACTAGTACCGTTGCATTTTTTTGTCCTCTGGCAAAGTAATTCATAGCAAACAAACATTTATGCTATAATTATTAATTTTTTAACATTCATAAAACATGATTACACTGCTGTAATTAAGCAGTACTTCTATTTCCTGAATGACAAACAGAGAAGCCTTGAATCATATAGAAATAAACACCTCTCCTGATGCATAAGTACCTTTCCTTTGAAAATAAATTAATTCAATTCAAATTACTCTGTAAAGACTCATTATGCAAAGAGTTACTAAGACATACAGTGCCTTAAAAAGTTTTAAAATTGTATTAAACCCGATGCTGAAAATGTCCTTATCTTTAAATATTATAATGAAACAACATTTGTGCCTTACAGTTTTTAAAGTAGTTGAAAAAAGTCTGAGAGAGAGAAAGAACAGATTCAAAATCTGTGTCAGTTCCTTGACTACTTCTCTCAAAGGATCATTTTTTTACAGTAATTAGAATAGTTGTTTCTAATAATGCCAGCATTGTACACACACAACATTATCTTCTCATTTAATATCATTTAACAAAAAACATGTTTAGCACTTGACATGGTACTGATTAGTTGACATTCTTATAATCTGTGCAGCTTGTTTCCATTCCCCTGGCAGCAGAACATCCTGTAGATGAAAACAGCCATCACACGGATGGCAAGTTCAGGAAAGGGTAGCACACTCCTGTCCGTCTCTCAGGGTGGCCTACTATTGTGGGTGACAAGCCCTGGCAATGGAAGTGATTTGATCTCAGGCAGTGATGATAGCCTCGTCCTCCAGTCTGTGGCTTGCATGTTCATCCTTGGTCATTTGGGAGTCGTCCATTTCCTAGTTTACTGTGGCAATGAATTCCTCTCATTCACCCTCAGGTCTGGGAACAGTAATTCCTCTTTCATAGGCAAAGGTTTCTGCAGCTTCTTCCCACGCTGACAGAATGGGCAATGACACATGCCTTGACAGCTCCCTTTTTTAGGCTTAGAGTTGTGAGTTCTGCTTCTTTCTTTTGAGCCTAACAATGATTGAGACTCTTTAGCTCTGTAGGAGATTGGTAGAGCCAGGCAAGATCTGCCATCTTGTCTAGACCTGCCATCCTCCCACACCACCCAGGAAAAAAAAATCTTTAAGGTTTCGACACCAGTTAGTGGACATACAGTACAGTATGAAAACAATTAGTGTGACTTCTCTACCCTGCAATCTCACAACACTCCATATGGATCCTGTGCATTCTTTCTTGTGAGCTTCTTCTGTTTCCAAAACAAGCTCTCTGTGATCTCTAAATTCCATGAACATGTCAATTTAGGATTTAAGATTATCTGATCTGGAGGCATTTTTAATGTGAAATCAATTAAGAATATTTTATATTTCAAATATATACTAGCTTAAATTCTGTAGTATTTGGTTCTTTTCAATAAACATTTAAAGGCCTTCTTATTCTTAGTTCTTTTGTTAACCTGCTCACTTAAGAACTGCAGCATCTTGTTTTTCCTTCTGAAGCCTCTAAAAAACAGAGTAAATCTTGGTACAAAGTGATTTTTCTTTTTTTCTGTGACTATAGTCAAGCTTATCTTGCATTATGCTTCTTTGTTTTACGATACCACATAATACTGTCTAAGGTTATGCGCACTACTTGTCTTCCCCTTTCTAAGATGTATTGTACTGAAATCAAAAAGCTTGAAGGCCCTTATTTGTACAGTAGCTAATAGTCAAGGTGACTCAAAAAGGTCTCATCTGTTAAGTGCTCCAGGTGTAAAATATTCTGTGATACCTTAATTGATAAAAAAAAATCATGGCCAAAAAAAGCTTGAGAACTGTTTTATTGCTTAAAAATAAATGTTAGAAAACTCAAGAAAATGTGTTTAAATGTGAAACAATCCTCTTAATGAGTGGGCTTTGATTGTAGATCCTTCTCTTTTTCAGATGCAGAGCTGCCAGGGTCATGTCCAGAAGTCACAGACTTCATGTGTCAGAATGGCAAGTGTGTTGAGTCCCATGTTGTGTGTGACTACAAACCAGACTGTGAAGATGAATCAGATGAATTAGACTGTGGTAAGTACCTCTGGATTGCTCAAGTTAAGGTTTAAATATACATGTTTCATTGAAGCTGTAAAAAAGCCTTATTGTGTGAAAATTGAGTTGTCCAAACTCCCTTTACCACGTTATCATCTCTTGCAGTGTTTGGTCTGTCTGTACAGTATGTTGGGGTCTCCACACAGGGTCTCAATCTGAATAGTATCTCCAAATATATCTCATATAAATCATGTTTCATTAAACTGGGAACACTTAGGTTATTGACCAATTAAGCAAACATGAAAATTCTTGAAAACTGAAAGATATTCAGGTACTTTTTCAAAATGATCATTAATTGCTGGTTAGCTCTGAAACTTTCTGGATTGGATTCTCCAGCACCAGGTGCTCTCCATTGAAGTCCTTAGACTTCACATGAAAAAATGATAAGCCTATCCCTTTATTAGCTGTAAATATCACTGTTTGACTACAGTATGTGTTTCAGTTGTATTGAAAATAATGTTTTTAAAACAAAGAATTATGCATTCACTCTGAAGACCTCTTAGAGCCAGAGAGCAAAAAATTGTGAAGTACAGTACACAAGTACATAATTTACAGCACATTTCTTTTGTACAAATAAAAAATCCTAAACTAATAATTCTAGTGACTGATCGTAACAAGGTCCCTTAAAGTTTTCTATACAACATTTATAACAGATAGACTTAGATTAGATAGCAAAAAGTTATATACAGTATGTCATTTGATGTGCAAGGTTTTGAGCAGCTTGTAGAAATATTATTATTTGACTTACTGTACAACTTTATCTCATGCAACTTAAAGCAGTGGTAAGCAGTGAAATGATGCAGTACATTAAATATGCAATAAGTGGCTAAACAGCAGTGCAGAGCAGTCAGTAGGTGACAGGTGACAGCTGACTGGAGGATCTGCCAGTATAATTAAAGCAAAGATCTCTGAGGTGGTACCGATAGGTGGTGACAGAGTCTTCATGTTCTCTGACAGTTACATCCACCATAAAAAGAGGACATGGGAGATAGGAGAACAATTAAAACTATTTTTAAATTAGGTCAAGATTTTTGTGAAGTATTTTAAGATTTTTAAATACTGAGTACGATGCCTCTGTAATTTGGCAGAATCCCAATATAAAGAAATATTATCAAGCATATTTTTGAAAGATTTGTAAAACATTACTTTGACTGATGTGTTGATCACTTTCAGGTCATATTCTGGGTTCCCCTGGTGCCTGCAATTTCAATATGCCAAGCACAGAGTCCTGGGAGGCAGTGTGTCATTTAACTCAGAATGGCAATGATGATTTTGATTGGAAGATAGGCAGCAGGACAGAGACAGAAGGAACAGGACCAACTGCTGACCACAGCCCAGGTACATCTGCCAGTTCTCTTTAAAACGACCCTCTTCTTTACATACACTAGAGCTCACAACTTTTAGAGCAAACAAAACATTGGAAAAAATGAAAACTTCAAAAATCAAATGTGGCCACATCAACATAATTACAAATAACTGCTTATGTGTCAGTTTTTGTTTTGTTGTTTGTGTGTTTTCTCACCTTTTTTCTCTGTCAATTTTTATGTTACAAAAAGCTGCCATCCAACTAAAATAATCAGGCTTGAGAACCAGGACACATATCATAGCCTTAAAAAAGTTGAGTCTGTCGTTGAAGTGAAAAAAAAAGTTTTAAATAATATTAGTGTGAAAAACAACTCACTTGCACTAAGTTCCAGCCTTAGGGGAACAATCTTATGTGTATTTATTACTTACTTGGGTGTCAAACACTAGTTCTGGAGAGTCACGTTCCAGAATGTTTTATGAGCCACCCTTAAATCATTAATTTATAGATTTATAAAAACAAATTTGCTTACTATATTAATATAACCATTAATAATTTGAAGAATTGTAATACTTTGAAAAATATAGTAGAAATTTACAATAAGACTATAGTGGTGTCCAAAGGTATTTGTTTGAGCTTGGGATCATATATAAAAACAATAAGATATTTAAAATATTAGGTATTATGATGCAAAAATGATATTAAAATCCCCTCTGGGCAGAAATATATTATGTAGTGCGTTTCTCTTCTGAATCATTATGTGCAGGAAATAAGGTGTTGTGAGCTTTGTGGGGAGGTTTTCCCAGCAAAGGAAATTAGAACATTCTTTTATTTATTAGAAAAAACATTCTGTGGTCTCAGGCTTGTATAGCTAACTAGGAAAGAAAATATTCATACAGAAAGCTACAGAGCTAGAACAAAAGCATGGCACCCGAATGACACAAAATAATTAATTTATAAAATGTGTTATTTTGAATTTTGGATCAATACATATATAAATCACAGACACAGAATTTTTATTATACATTTTGTATAATGTTAAATGCTCTTTTTTGTCTTCAGAATATAAACAAAAATTAACCTTTAAATTAAAATCTTAAAAAATTAAATCTTTAAAAACCTTATGTCAAGCATAGCATTGTGCTATCCTCAATTTCAATGCAGTAAACAATGGCAAAATATAATTTTTTTGTTTTTTGCAACCGGGTGTTTTACCCACAGTAGAAAAAATGCTTTAAATTCAATTGTGGTGTATAGAATGTATTTCTACAGCTTTAGAATACATATTTTTTATAACTTTGTGTTGAAGCACTTCTGTAGCCATTAAGTAATTCTGTACAACCAGGTTAATTCACAGAGAATGACAGTACAAATGTTAACTTTGCAGATCGCAATTGAAATTATAGAGTGGGCTTCCTAGGCTTTCTAGATTCAGATATCATATTGGTATCTTCTATGAATGTATTTTATGTCAACTTATTCACCAAACGAATCCTAAAATATCACTTTATTTTCAATTAACATCACCAGTTTCTACTACTCTGCATAGGACAATTCAGGAAATCAGACTCACAGAAACAGTCATGATCCACTGGCCTACACTGTATGCAGACATGCTTCTTTTCTCTGTCTATACTGGGAATGTGAGTACTAATGATGATAATTTTGGTAAATGGAAATACATGGTGCAGAGCACCAGATGTAATAGTACTGTAAGTTGCTTTGGAAAAAAGCATCTGCCAAATGAAAAAATGTAAATGCAAACAGTATTAGTACACCACCCAGCAGTGTTCACTACTGTAGGTATTCAGAGCCAGCGACAGCAAATAATACAAATCTAGGTTTGATCCCAGCTAGGAAACAGAAGAGGTTATCCAGATATAGAATACAATATTCCAATATTATGAAAGGAAATCCATTTTACTATCAGACAAAAACAAATAATTTGTCTTAATTAATTTTATATTAAAGATATCACATTTTTTCATTTTTATTTCTGCTTCAAGCTGATTTTACCTAGCTTGATCACTACTGTTAACTAGCTCATCCTCTTAATGGCCAGTTTAACAATCCTTCTGCAAAAATAAAATTAAAAAATAAATACTTCAAAATTAAATATTACATGTAGTTCAGATGCACTGCTACTTACTAGTTTGTGTTACAACATTTAAAATATATAAAATAAAATATTTAAAGAAATTCCTATAGATACAATGATATAAAAGGAAACTACAGAGAAAAGGGAACTTGGCACAACCTCACAATACCAGGTGCAGAATCCCAGAAAGGCATCCCATTACACACAGAACCTGACAGCACTGAGGAGTGGAAAAAATTATGAAAATAGGGAACTGTATCAAGGAAATGTATCAAAAAGGAAAGAATTCTTAGTTTTGAAACAGATGTCTGCTCGTATCATGAATTTTAATGTGCAAATTCTGGACTGTATTTATTTTTGCTGTCCTGGGTTGTCCTGGGTTGTCCTGGGTTTACCGCCACAACAGCACTACCTGTGAGAGGGTTCTTTCCATGGTTGGAAGAATCCACACTGTAGACAGAACAGGGGTGCTGACACACTTACTGTAGTGCTCACATGCAGTGTACTGTATTGTTGATCGTACAGTAACTTCTTCAGACCACCTCAGTTATGGCTGACAGCCCAGCACATGCTGTTAATGAATAAAATAAGGGAAATGCAAAATGTTTAACAAGGGCACAAATACAATCGGCATTGTGTTTTATTATGAAAATTATTTTTTAACATACACTGTAGGCACATTTCTACTGTATGTATTTAAAATGAATAGACTTACTGCACTTTTTTTGAAAAAGCATTTGATTTAGCCTTAGAAATACTTAAGATTTGTTTTTGCAAAATGAAGGTACACAACTCCTAACCATCATCCATCCATCCATCCATCTGTGTAATCACTTTGTCCAGTACGTGGTCGCTTGGGACTAACCCACTACAGAAGCAGCATCAACCTAGAGGAAGGTGAACAGAGACCCACAGGACCGCAAGCCAGCTCCGGGTTTAACCAGGGTGGCAATGAGACCAGGGGTCTCCCAACCTTGGGTTGCATACTGCTGGATCACTCTGAGAAATCGTCCACTCTGTGCTGGCAGAGGAGCGCTTTGAGAACTGGCACATACTGTATAGGACTTGTAATCCAAGTTGATTCACAATTAGGGATTTCAAACTGAGGGGTAGAAAAATAAAAAAGTGATTGCATTTTGTTAAAAAATATATTGGAAATACCTGATGGAGAAATATATTTGGAAATACATAATGCAGCACAAAATGTGTTCCCCTTTTTTTAGAAAAAAATGAAGCTAGATAATTGACCAGATGGGATTGTAAATTGCTTTGGATAAATAATAAATAAATATACTGTTAATGCAAGGATATCAACACTCATCCTTCACCCAGCAGTGTTCACTAACAAAACCTGAGCCAGTGACAGCAAACAATACAATCTAGATTTCATCCCAACTAGAGGCCAGTCACCAGTAGAGACTGTTAAAAACAATTATTGTTTGTGCCATTAAACCAGAAAAAAAAGATAATCTACAGTAGATCTGAACCCAGTCCAGAAGATAAAATAAGGAAAACATAATCATCATTGCCCATTCAAAAACTAAAAACCTTAGCTAGCTGTCAAATCTGAAGAAAAAAAGCCAAATTACTGTAAATGGAAACTTTGCTGTGACTAAAGAAAAACATTTTGAGTCAGGCTTTGTGGCTTTGTTTCACCACTAGCTGAAGCAGTTTAAATACGTTAACTTCCCATGAAAAATCCTTGGTTTTCATTGCCTCACTTCAATGCGTCCTCTTCTTTAGTATCCTGCGAATCATCTTATGGGTTCTTGAAGCATCACATTGCATCACTCATTGACATCAGATTGAAATCCTTTCACTCAGTATCTTAATGACATGATCATGTAGAGCATAATCATTCTCTCCTGGAAAAATCTAACGTTTAAAACCAGTAGCATTTAACAAAGATTTTGACAAGATTGGTTATATGATCTGCTTCAACCTGCACTGAACCAGTCAGAAAAGATGGCCACTTAAAAAATTCCACTGGCTACCTGCCAAAATGGTAGATAATTCACAAGGTACTATACTGTAACACTGCACGTTGTAGATTGAATGATGAACCCTATGCGGAGTTGTAGAGCTGAGTCAGGAGAGATTTTAGGTAAATCGAAAACCTAAGGCGGAGACGTAGTCAAGGACGAGTTTCAGGTTCGATACCAAAGGAGAAGGCAGACAGATCCAAACCACTAGATGAGATCGAGGTCAAAGGTTGTTTCAGGTTAGAGTATCCAAAAGCAAGAACAAGTAGTTATAAATGCGAGGAAAGAAGTTCTGAGGAAACTAACAATACTGAGCAATGTTTAATGAAACGGAGAAGGCTTAAGTATAAGATAAGAGAGAGAGAGATCACTTTATTAGCCATATACAATTTCTTGCATTAGGAGTTCGTCTTTTCGCATACCCCAGCTTACCCTCCATAAGACACAGACACACAGACAGGGAGAGAAGCTTGGGGCCAGAGCGCAGGGTCGGCCATTGTACAGCGCCCCTGGAGCAGTTGGGGTTAAGGACCTTGCTCAGGAGCCCAATGGAATAGGATTCCTCTGCTTCTTGCTTTACCTAGCCAAGCTGAAGATAACCCATGGTAGACTGTCCGAGACAGTTTCACTTAGAACATGAGGAGATTAAACTCAAATGCAGAGAAACAAAGTCTAATTAATAGACTATACTGTACCTATTGGTTTACCGCTAACCAGTGAAGTTGGATATTTTTCTCCTGACTGCTTTCTTTTGTGGCTATTCATGCTTTGGAACAATTGTGTTTCATTGCAAAGCAAATGATCATACTTAGGGAGGAAGTGAAAAGCCCAGCAATTCTGAATAAAAAAAAAAGTTTTGGTATGTTTTATGTTACTGTAATTCTTTGTATACTATAAAATACACCAATATTTTGAAGGACACCCCATAAGAGGTACATTTATTAGGAACTTGTAT